AACTTTTTGAGGAAACTCCATACTGTCTTCCATAGTGGCTACACCAGTCTGCATTCCCACCAGCAGTGCAGGAGGGTTCCTTTTTCTCCGCATCCTCGCCGGCACTTGTCGTTTGTTGATGATAGCCATTCTGACAGGTGTGAGGTGGTACCACATTGTCGTTTTGATTTGCATCTCTTGGATGATTGGAATTACTGTTTTTAATCAAGGACATACATGACTTGTCATCAGTCCTTCTCACTCTGAGTCTTTCAAGTCTGTGACGACCTGATTTTCTCCTTCTCGAAGCAGGAATGGGATCAGGTGACTCAGCGGGCCTCTCCATGAACACACTGTTCAAGAGAGAGAGCTTGCCACCTGCCTGACCTTTCCTTAGAGCTTGAGTTGGTGGGAAGAAAAGCTCTAGGTTGGTGAGAGGCAGGAGTTCGCACAGCAGGACACAGACAGATACAGATGGGTCATTTCAGGACAAGCCCTTGCCCAGTGCTTTCTGTTGATATATGGGACGCTCTTTGGAACCACGTATAACTCTCACAGCCATAAAACCAGAGAACTGGGAATTCAGTTGATCCTTTTCCTTGTATCTCTAAGTGACATTTAATTGAAGTCATTTTGGCATTGCTGGTCTGTAGCTACATGCTGTTTTTATTGGCATTTACCTGTTTTGAAGCTTTTTTAGGAGTATAAGACCACCTTGAATACAGATTTGGACAATAATTAGAAAAATGTTTTTAGCTTTAAGCATATAAATTTCTTCACTGTGGAAAACCACTTATTTATGTAGGGTCGTAAGTCTCGTTTTGATTTTAAACATTTTCTCTACATTTTCTTCCAAATAAAATAAAACTTATAATACTTTGAAAATACTGTGTTGTATGGATTGATTTTCAAAAAAGAGTTTAATTTATGAGAGCAGCATGCACATAATTACTTAAGCTAGGTTAATAAATAGTGCTAAATAAAAGAGCTCAATATCCTCATAGTACAGAAACAAGTGATTTTAATGAATTCTAACAATTGGGTGAAAATGAAACTTTTTTTGAGATGATTTTAAAAAATATTTGTGTTCTTGGGTGAGATTTTCATCCTTAGTCTTTATGAGAAAATAGTTTGTTGAACTCAAATATTAGCCTTATTGAACTTTTAAATTTATTATATAAATAAAAAATTTCCTGTGATTCAAGGCATTTATCAATACATTTGACTTCTGAACATTATAATTACAAGAGAATTTCCAGTAGTATAATTGGCTTCACCTTTGCACTTTCATTTTCCAGTGCCCTCAGTTAAGGACAGCTTTCTAGAAGGAAGAGAAGTTTTCTTATTGATGTGTTCAATTTTAGGTGGTTTTGCTTCCTTAATATTAGAGAACTCGGGCCTTATTTATTTCAAATCTTTTTCATACACATTGTTTTGATGTTCCATTAGAAGAACTTTCCTGGTAGTGACTTTTGTTACTAAGTATTCTCTCATTTGAATAATTATCATTAAGCAGTCTCCACCACAGTGTACAAATGATGGGTCGTAGAACTGTACACACTGAAATCTGTATAATTTTGTTGACCAGTGACAACCCAATAAAATCACTACAAAGGAAAAAAATAAAGTTTTAGAATTAAAAACAAAATCTAGTGTAAATTTTGCCCTGAAAAAAAGTTCTCTCTGACTAATCATTTATTAAAATATTGACTTAATTTCAATTTGAAGCTATTGTAGGTGTATGTGTAGTTAATCTCCTTTTGAGTACTTTAAGCCTTTTAAATTATTTTATTAAGTGCTCACATATAAGAAATGTTGCAATACAATCCTAAAACTTTAGTATAATTGAGAGTCAGCTATACTTGCTTAATCCCAGATGATTCAGCTGTAATAGCAACAGCATGAGGAGGTCTTAGTCTGTTGACAGGCATCTGGGAGCAAAATCAGTTTCATGCTAGGCCCTCTAGCGGCCCCATGTCCTGTGTGTACTAGTAGTGGTATTAAATAATATATTAAAGATGAATAGATTTTCCTGCTATGCTGATGATCTCAAAGGTTAGAGCTGCACCAGGAATTATCTCTACATTCTGGTTAATAATAATCCTGACAGGGATTGAGTATAGATATTAATCAGATGCTGGCACTTAAGTTCCACCTCCAGTTCACATAGTAACAGGTATTCTTTCTGTAGCTACAGCAGTATTTTTAGAAATAGTTCCCAGTAGCCCAGCTGGCCTGGCTCAGTGGTTTAGTGTCGAGCTATAAACCAGGAGGTCAGAGGACATGCCCATGTTGCAGGCTCGATCCCCAGGGTGGGGCGTGCAGGAGACAGCCAATCAATGATTCTCTCTCATCATTGATGTTTCTATCTTTCCCTTTCCCTTCCTCTCTGAAATCAATACAAATATATTTTATTTTATTTTATTTTTTAAATATATTTTATTGATTTTTTACAGAGAGGAAGGGAGAGAGATAGAGAGTTAGAAACATCGATCAGCTGCCTCCTGCACATCTCCTACTGGGGATGTGCCCGCAACCCAGGTACATGCCCTTGACCGGAATCGAACCTGGGACCCTTCAGTCCGCAGGTTTGGCTCTATCCACTGAGCCAAACCGGTTTCGGCAATACAAATATATTTTAAAAAAAGAAATAGTCCCCAATATTCAGGTATTGATAATAACTATTAAGCTTTTGACTGTAATATGCTTTCTAGTAGTTGAAATATAAGCATTTGTACAAATGTTAAATATAGGAAACCATATAACCAGTTTAGGGAAACAAAAAATAAACTAGCAAAGAGGGTATCTTTTAAGATAGTATCTCATAAGTGTGTGTGCTAGTATATTTACACTTGCCAATATAAACATACAAATAAAATAGCAAAAAAATATGTTTTTAAAAATTTTAATAGTGAGAATTCTTTAATAGAGGGCCATTTGCTTTTTCTTCCCTGTTTGTTTCTAATTATCAGGTCTCTGTCTTTTAAATTTAGATTAAAAAAATAATTGTCTTCCCAACTTAGTATTTTTACAGCTGTACTTTTAAAGTTATATATTTAAAGCAGGAATACATGTAGTTGAAATGTTTATAAGAATTATCAATGTCAAATTTTGAACAAATGCACATTGTACCAGTAGGCTATTTTGACTTTTTAATAGTATCATTTTTGAGTGCACATGCTGATGTTGATTTACAAGCAAGATTGTTTATTCCAGAACTATGAAAAGATATACAGGAGAGAGAGAGAAGGGAAATATTTTAATTTTGAAAGTACTACTCTTATTTTGTTTATATTTTTTTATTATGTCTTCTTGTTTATGCAGTGAAATTTCATGTCAAAGTTTTAAATAAATCAGCATATATGGATGGATGCCAGTTAGTAAATTTTATTTGGTGTGAAGTACTATAGCTAGGAGGCTCTACATTTAAAATAGCAAAATTAAATTTGTTTGTATTTGAAATGCATGGAATTCCTATTTAGTGTGGAAAAATGAAAATGAGAGAACCTACTTCTAGTCCTTATGTACCTGCTTATTGTCATGTCCCATGGAATACACCTCTTGTATTCTCTCTGTGCCTCTGGTTTCTCTTCTGTAAAATGGGCTCAAGAACTTATTGACGCCTTCATCCCTTTCAAGAACATTGAGGACAGATACCTTGAAGTCTTTGGAAGACAAAATGTCACCTTATGTATTTTTTTATACTAATTTGCCTTGTAAGTATGTGCTATGTATGTATTATACACAGTGGCGCGGTGTGACATTTTGAATATTTTTATGAGAACAAAAGTTGTTTGTATGCCTTAATGTTAAACCAGAACTTCATTCTTAATGTTTTATAATTTCTGAACTTCTATCTCTGTAGTGCAGTGAGAACTCTCCCTTTGGCCATCTCCATGCCCTATACTGTTCGTGGGTAGAACACGGGGATACTAATTTTTTGTGGCAGTATTTTAGGATTGTGCACAGAAGTTGTTCTGTAGATGGGTTAGGAATATACCCTAGGTCTGCAGTGTACAGAGCAGGGCTTCGTCAGCTTAGGAAAAGACAAAGAGCCCTCTATTTCCTCAGTTTTAGGTTATTTTTCAACATGTTTATGTTGTCCTGCATTCTGACTCACGGTTTGGAAAGTCAGGTAGAACTTTTTGAGTTTACCATTCAGGAAGTGGTGAAGGGGAGAATTCCAGGTCAGGATTTTGGAGACATGGATAGTGGGCTGTGTGCTGCCCCTACAGTAGTTCTCGCTTTTCCTGTTCTGAACTGTGTTCTATCTCTAATGAATGAGGATGCTATGGAACAAGGATCCCAGGAGGGAAGAGGGTTGTTCTTGCATTGAATGCCTTGATTTCATACAATTCTGAAATGGTCATTAAAGCATCTATGAAGCTATCTCTAATTATTCACATGAAAACTGTTTAAAGTATAGTCCATTATGATTTAAAGTATAGTTCCTTATGATTTTCTTTAGCACATGATTAATTTTCATTACCCAAGAACTTTGTTGCATAATTTCTAACATCATCAGTGAATGCTTGTGTTTAGAGAGCCTGGTCCTTTTAAGAGTTATTGAGTACTATTTTATTAAAATGTAATAAATGTCCTATGTCCTATTTTGTTTTTCTGTGGTAAAAATTGTTCTTGTAAAGTATAACAAAAATAATCACTTTTATGTTGGGTTAGTATTTGCAAAGTTTGCTTAGAAATTTTTTTTAAAAATATATTTTATTGATTTTTTTACAGAGAGGAAGGGAGAGGGATAAAGAGTTAGAAACAACGATGAGAGAGAAACATCGATCAGCTGCCTCCTGCACACGCCCCACTGGGGATGTGCCCGCAACCAAGGTACATGCCCTTGACTGGAATCGAACCTGGGACCCTTGCATCCGCAGGCCGACGCTCTATCCACTGAGCCAAACTGGTTAGGGCTGCTTAGAAATTTTTGATCTTTCTGTGGTAGTGGTTTTCTCAAGCTTCTGTAGTTGTTTTATGTTATTATGACATCTTCTGTCATTCTTTTCCAGAGAATTCGGTCAACAGTGGATGAAAAAGAACAAAAGCAACTTCTTATGGATTTGGATGTAGTAATGCGGAGTAGTGATTGCCCATACATTGTTCAGTTTTATGGTGCACTCTTCAGAGAGGTAGGAATGAACTATCTGGGTTTTTAGCTGGCAAATGAATATCTAATTGGGATAAATCAAGGGGTGGCAGGCTTCAATCTTAATGTACAGTTAAATGCCATACATTAGTAATAAGTTAATTTCTCAGTAGTTTAGTATATAGCCTTGATAATCTATACCAGTGATGGTGAACCTTTTGAGCTTGGCGTGTCAGCATTTTGAAAAACCCTAACTTAATTCTGGTGCCGTGTCACATATAGAAATTTTTTGATATTTGCAACCATAGTAAAACAAAGATTTATATTTTTGATATTTATTTTATATATTTCAATGCCATTTAACAAAGAAAAATCAACCAAAAAAATGAGTTCGCGTGTCACCTCTGACACGCGTATCATAGGTTCACCATCACTGATCTATACATAAATTTCTACCACTTATTTTTCCTTTTGTTAAGGTGTGAATCTTACACTTAAAAAAAAATGGCTGTCATTTGTGAATCCCCTATTTCCTTGCTTCATTTATAAATACTTTCTCTTCTTTAAGGGGATCTAACCCACAACCTTGGCGCATTGGGACGATGCTCTAACCAACTGAGCTACCTGACCAGGGCTTGATGTACCTTTACTTATTTTTATTTATGTATTTATTTATTTATTTATTATTTAGTTTCCATTGCCCAACAAATTGCTTCAAAAAGAAACCTGCTAAGACAAATGTCAGAGATTTTACTGCCTTTGTTTTCTTCTAGGAGTTTTATGGTTTTGAGTCTTACCTTTAAGTCTTTAATCCACTTTGAGTTTATGTATGGTGTAAGAAAGTGATATACCAGGTGTACCGGTTAATAATGCGGATTTTGTAATCAAAGAAAACATAATTTCAAGAGAAACATCAAAAGTGCTTTATTCTAAGTAATGTCCATTGCTAGCTACACATTTCCCCATCTTTCAGGTAATTTATGGATACCGTCCCAATAGAACTTTTCTTGTTTTGAGGCAAACCATTCAGAGACCCAATTTTCCACTTCTTCATATGTTTTGAAGTGCTGCTCAGAAAGTGCGTGTGCCATCGATCAGAACAAGTGGTAATCTGAAGGAGCAAGGTCTGGTGAATACAGCGGGTGGGTTAATACTTCCCAGGCAAGATCTTTTAACGTGTCTTTAACTGGTTTTGAAGTGTGTGATGGTGCGTCATCATGAGGCAAAATTACTTTGCTGTGTCTTCTGGCACATTCTGGTTATTTCACAATCAAAGCGTGGTTCAAATTGATTATTTGTTGTCAGTAGTGATCAGGATTAACGGTTTCACCTGGTTTTAGAAGCTCAATATAGCACACCTTCCTGATCCCACCAAACACAGGGCATTGTCTTCTTTCCAAAGCGATTTGGCCTTGCAATCAATGTTGATGGTTGACCTGGATCAACCCATGATTTTGTGCATTTGGGATTCTCAAAATAAATCCATTTTTCATCACCAGTCACAATTCAATGCAAAAAAGACTTTCTTTCGTGCTGTTGAAGCAACATTTTACTGATGACTTTTCGGTTTTCCATTTGTCTTTCGTTCAGTTGATGTGGCACCCATTTTCCTTCCTTTAAAATCTTTCCCATTGCTTGTAAATGATTAGAAATTGTTTGCTGGGCAATGTTTTAATCTTTCTGCAAGTTGTTTTTGAGTTTGACATGCATCTTCATCCAATAATGCTTGTAATTGTTGGTCTTTAAACTTTTTCGGTTGACCTGGACGTTCTTTGTCTTTCACATCAAAATCATCACTTTTAAAGCGTTTAAACCAGCGTTCGCAAATATCTTGAGATGGAGCATGTTCACCATAAGCTTCCCGAAGTATTCAGAAGCACTTTTCTTCAAAATAAAGTAATGAATTATAACTTCCTGCAAATGCTCTTTTTTTGGCATGAAATTCGACATTTTTAAGTGTAAAAATATATATGATGTTAACACCTTCAGCAAATTTGACATATGAAGTTTGAAGGTTGTTGTCAATACAACAAAATAGCATACATATCAAATTGCATATATATCAACATATGTGTAACTCCCATCTATTGAAAAAAATCCGCATTATTAACCGGTACACCTAGTAGTTTTATTTTTTCGCATGCACCTGTTCAGTTTTTCCAGTATCATTTATTGACTAGACTGTCTTTACTCATTGTATCTTCTTGCCTCCTTTGTCAAATATTAATTGACCATATAGACATGGGTTTATTTCTGGACTCTCTATTCTGTTCCATTGACTTCTGTGTCTGTTTCTATTCTAGTATCAATGCTGTTTTGATTACAATAGCCTTGTAATATAATTTCATATAAAGTAGTGTGATACCTTCAACTTTGAACTCTTAAGCATTTTAAATGCTCATTAGAAATACCATTCTCATTTTGAAAATGTTCAGATGTGCTGAAACTGTATCACAAAGCCTTGGGTTTTTATTGTAGTTATTGAAACTTAAAATAAACTGTGTTATAAGACAGAACTAAGTGTATACTGACTAGAAGTATGAAATCTTGTGATTGGAGAAGACCTTAGAGGTTAATCAATTAATTCTCCACCCAACCCTAAAATTTATTTATTTATTTATTTGTGTGTGTGTGTGTGTGTGTGTGTGTGTGTGTGTGTGTGTGTTCTTAATTGGTAACTCTAGTAACTGGAAGAATACTACTTCATGATAAAGCCTATTTCTTTGTTCAATTACTAATTAACCACTGTTAATTCTATACTTGTAGTTTCTTCTTCCTCCTGTCCTTGTACTTTTTAATGAGTTGAATATTCATATATTTTTTTACCCAATACATTGAATTTCTTAGCTTACTTCACTATTTCACATCAGTATGACATTGTATCTGTATATAGTCATGCATTCAGGTACATAACTGTATCCTGGGCCTAAATATTACATCAAGTTATTTTGTTAGTAAGGTCATGAGTCTGGAACTTGTTTAGGTTGCACAGGAATCTTGGTATCTCCTCTCCCCTTCTTTTACCAAACCATAACTTTATTCTTCATAATCACTAAATCCTTTTTCAATCTTACGCAAAAGTTGTTATTTAGGATTGGACTAGATCTTCTCTCCTAACTGGATTCCTTAGTCAGCTTTTCCAGTGCTGTGTTCACTAAAGTCTCCCACTGGTTCTACCTTCACTGGAATTCACCTCCCTAGCTTGAACATGCCAATTTAGTGCTCCTGTTCATTTATTTAGTCCTTCATTTAAGCAACATTTAAATATTTAGCCCCAGGCTAAGTAGTGTGGAAGTCTGATTTCATGAAAAGAAGGCAGGGTAAGTGATATCTACAATTGAGAACTTACTGATAATAAAACAGAAAGCTTTTTATAAACAAAAAGAATAGGATCTGAATGGTATCCTTATGGTTTCTCACAAATAGCTGGGTAAAATTCAGTTTTACATCTCAGGAAGGTCGAAGGGAGTGAGATAAGCAGTTATAAGCACTAGCATCTATTGAATGCTCTATCGTTTTCACATATATTATCATACAACGGTCTCAGGGAGTTTGGTGGTATTATGCCCTTTTTACAGAGAGGAAACTGAGATTTGAGTACTAATTTGAAAAATGTCGCACAGCCACTAAGTGTCACAGTTGGGAATTCAGAGACAAAGTTCTCACTGTTCATTCATTATATACCACAGGTAGTCTAGGGATGAAGAATTTTTAACTTAATTTAAAATATAGCCTTTTAAAACATTACAACTTTTAACTATGATAACATGAAATGAAATCTTAAGAATTATACAGTTAAGCTGTATATAGTCATAAAATGCCTAGAGTGAACTTGAACTTCTCCCCCAAATCTTAGAATAGAAGAAATAATAGGTACTTTCTCAATAATAAAAAAATGAAGTTTTAGAAGCAGAAAGTTCATTTAAAGAGTGCATAGTCAGCCTCTCTGGTTTGACTCAGTGGATAGAGCATCGGCCTGCAGACAGAAGGGTCAAGGGCACATACCTCAGTTGCAGGCTCAGGCCTTGGTCGGGTCTGTGCGGGAGGCAGCTATCAGGTGTCTCTCTCACACCAGTGTTTCTCTCTCTCTGTCCCTCCCCTTCCCGTCTACTCTCTCTAAACAAACAAACAAACAAACGATAAATAAATAAATGGAAAAATATCCTCTGGTAAGGATTAACAACAAAAAAGTGAGTAGTCAAAGTTTCTTTTCTCAAGTTACAAAGGGTAAAAATGTTAAACAGATTTAATAAGGGTTTAGAGAAACACTTTTCTTTCAAGATTGATTACTTAAAAATAAAGATCTCTTTTAGCTACATGACCTTCAGTTTTAGTAATAGACCCAAAATTCTGGGTTTATGACAGGAAAGAATGGAAGTGTTTGTGCAGTCAGGACTTTTTGCCTTACATCACTGTGTGAGAGACACGTGCTTTTAATTCTGTCACTGTGAGAAACCCTCCAGAATATTTCACATAATTTAGTGTCCATAAGACATCAGGTTTTGGTCTGGTTCAGTCACCGTCAATCAAGGGCTTGTGAAAAGGTATTTTTCTTCTTGTAGCTACTATGTAGAGATTAATCTTGCTATTGGGTAATTTTGAGCCTTTGTAAGTTCTATAGCTTTATTTAGAGCAGTGAATAAATAATACTTATTACTGAAGTTGGTAACTTATATGTTGCCATTGTTTCCAACCATGTATACTTCTTTCTAGGATGGACCTAAACTCAAATAAAAAGCCCCAAGTTCAACTTGGATTCGATTAAGTAAGTTATTAAGACATCCAATTGCACAGGTTTCTAAATTCGTTTTCAGACTTTGTAGACTGGGAAAAGAAGAGGTTGGTAGTACTGAAAAATTAAAGTAACTTTTAGCCTATAGTTTACTTAAAGGCTTTTAATATATAAATTGTCAGAATTTAATAGCAAGGAAATCCTTAGGTTGAGGTTGGAGAAATTCTAGTGTAGGAAATACTGTTCTGAGTAAGTTCTGATTGTAGAAGTTCATCAGATTATATAAAAGTGATATTGGCTGAATTTAGTCACCTTCTCTTTCTACTCCCTCTTCTCATGTTCTTCTTTCTCTTTCCTTCCCCCTTGCAAGTTATAAATACAGCTTATGGAGCTAATGTTGACACATGATAAACCACACATATTTAAAGTATACAATTTGATATGTTTGGACAAATGTATGCACCTGTACAGTTATGACCATACTCAAGATAATGAACTTCATCACTCACAAGTTTCCTTGTGTCCCACAGGTAATACACACTTCCTTTCTGCTGTCAGCATCCTCAGCAACCGTAGGTCTGCTTTCTGCCACTATAGATAAATTTGCATTTTCTAGAATTTTGTGTAAATGGAATTAAACAGTATGTACTCTTTTTTAAAGAAATTTCTTTTACTCAGCATAATTATTTTGCAATTCATGTTGTGGCATGTATAAATAGTTTGTTCCTTTTGATTGTGGAGTAGTATTAGTTTTCCATTGCGTGGGTATACCACAGTTTGTTTATTCTTTTGGGTTGTTTCCAGTTTTTATCTATTACAGTAAAACTGCTGTGAGTATTTGTGTACAAGGATTTGAGTGGACGTATGATTTTATTTCCCTTGGGTTAAATACCTGGAAGTGGGATGGCTGGATCATATGTTTCAGTTTTTTAAAAAATGGGCAAACTACTTTTAAAAGTGCAGTTGACTTTTGAACAACTTGAGGGTTGGGGTGCTGACTATTGAAAATTTGCATTTAACTTTTAACTCCCCACAAACTTAATGAGAGTTGTCCCTCAGTATCTGCAGAGGATGGTTCGAGGCACTTCACCAGTACCCAAATCCAGAGATGCTCAAGTTCCCTATGTACAATAGCATAGAACAATGCATGCAGTCGGCGCCCTGCATTCTGATTCCCCACTGCAGATCCAAAATAACTGTTTTCAATCCACAGTTGGTTGATGAGGAGGATGTGAAACCAGGGATATGGAGGGGTGACTGTTTATTGAAAAAAATCTGCATTTAAATGAACCTTCGAAGTTCAAACCCATGTTGTTCAAGGGTCAACTGTAGTTGCATTTGCAGCTTCCAGTGGTGGTGGATGAGTGTTTATTTCTTCCACATCTTCTCAACAGTTGGGGTGTCCGTCTTTTTAATTTTTAGCCATTCTAATAGATTTAGAGTGGAATCTCATTGCATTTTTGATTTTCATTTTTCTAATGACAAATGCTGTTAAACAGCTTTTCCTGTGCTTACTTGCCAGCTGTCTTCAGTGCAGTTTCTATTCAAATCTTTTTGTCATTTTCTTAATTGTTTTGCTTATTTTCTTACTATTGAGTTTTGGGAGTTTTTAAAAAAATGTTATTCTGGATACAGGTTTATTATCTATCTATATAAAAAGCCTGTGGTAGTGACGCCCTCATGCCATAACGACCGATCACCAGGAGGCTGCATACATGGCAGGCGTGGGTGGGTGGGCGGGGCTGCCTGTGCAGTGAGGTGCGCAGGTGGGCGGGGACTTAACACTGCGTCTGGCGGGTGCCAGCAGGGGCTTGATGCTGTGTCCCTGTGGGCGCTGGCGGGTCTGGGTCTCACGTGATTTAGAGGCGTGGGTGGGCGGGGCTTCGTGCACGGCCAGGCCCCTGCAGGTGGGTGGGGACTTGACTCTGGGTCTTGCGGCGCTGGTGGGACTTGACGCTGCATTCCCGTGGGCGCCGGCCCAGACTCTGACAGGAGAGAGGAGGGAGTCAGATACCCGCACCCAGGACTTGACTCTGGGTCTCGTGGCGCCAGTGGGACTTGATGCTGGGTCTCTGCGGGCGCCGGCGGGGACTTGACGCTGCGTCCCCATGGGTGCCGGCCAGACTCTGACAGGAGGGAGGAAGGAGCCGGATACCCGCAGTATTAAAATATTTCCTCTAATTAATCCCCTTTTAATGTGCATAAATTTTGTGCACTGGGCCACTAGTCAGATACATGATTGCAAATGTTTGTCCCCCTATGTCTGTGTCTTATCTGTTATACATTTTAAGTGTTTTTTTTTTTTAAAAAAATATTTTTATTGATTTCAGAGAGGAAGGGAGAGGGAAGGAGAGATACAAACATAAATGATAAGAGAAAATCATTGATTGGCTGCCTCCTGCATGCCCCCTACTGGGGTTGAAACCCGCAACCCAGGTATGTGCCCTTGACCAGAATTGAACATGGGACCCTTCAGTCCGCAGGCTGACGCTTTATCCACTGAGCTAAACCAGCTAGGGCTTAAATATTTATTTTAGAAAGTGAAAGTTTTTAATATTAATGTAGGACAACTTGTCTGTTTTTTTCTTTTATGCATTGTGCTTTTGGTGTATCTAAGGAATTTTTGCTGAACTCAAATTTTCTCATGTTTTTCTCTTATACTTTTATAGTTTTAGACATCACAATTATATTATCCATTTAGAATTAGTTTATATGTGGTAAGAGGTGTGGATTGATGTTTGCTTTTTTGCATTTGGATATCCTTTGTAGTTTTGCCAGAAATTAGTGTGTGGGTCTATTTCTGGACTATCTAGTCTGTTCCATTCATCTGTTTTGTCTCTCTTTGCATCAGTTTCATACTGTCTTGATTATTCTAGCTTTATAGAAAGTCTTGAGATCATGTAGTACTTAATGGTCTTTAAAATTCATTTTTCTTAAAAAATAAGTTTTAGCTAGTTGAGGCCCTTTTCGTTTCCATATACATTTTGGTATCTGCTTATCAGTTTTTATAAAAACAAATCCCCAGAATTGTTGATTGGGATTATTTTGAATCTATACATCTGTTGGGAGAGTATCAATATTTTAACAGTATTAAGTCTAATGACCCATTAACATGGTATTTTATTTCATTTATTTACATCTTTAAAACATTTATCAGCAATATTTTATAGTTTTTACCATATAAGTCTATCACATTATTTGTTAAAGTAAGTACGTGATATATTTTGATGCTTTAATAAATGAGATTTTAAAAAATTATTTCCTCTTATGTTGTGACTAATACGTAGACATACAATTGATTCTTGTTTTTTTGTTTTGTTTTTTTGTTTATTCCTGAATTTATATCTCCAACCCTGACTTCTCCCCTGAAATCTAGACTTCTACAACTGCCTAACCAATATCTCCATTTGGATATTTGATAGGCAACTCAAAATTAAGATGAGCACAAATTGAGATCTCTCAACTTACTACCTCACTTCCCAAACCCTCATCACCCCCAGGATTTATCTCCACAATTGGTCCTATCATCCTAGGTACACAGGCCAAAAAGTCAGGAGTTATCTTGATTCCTCTTATTTCCTTACATTCCAATCAGTAAGTTCTGGCTCTACCTCCAAAATATATCCTAATACCTATGGTGGCCTTCCTTGCCATCTCACTGCTATAATCCTGGCCCAAGCCACAGTCTAACCAGTCTTTCCATATCCAGTCCTGCCCCTCTAGGTTTATTCCCCATGCAGCAGAGTGATTTTAAATGGTAAATCAGGTAACCTTACCCCAGAGAATTGCACTGAGAATAAACTTTGCATTTTACTTGCAAAGCTTTACACTATCTGATTGCTGTTTACCTCTCCTTTATGGCTCTGCTCTTTGCCTACTGTGTTCCAGCAACAGCAGACAGCAACCTTCTTTCCATTCCTAAACAGATAGGAACAGGTAAACTAAGCTCAGTCAGGTTCTTATGACTTTATACTAGCTATTACCTTTGCATGGGATGCTGTTCCCTTGGACAAAAAAAAAAAAGAGAGAAAGAGAAAAGGAAAAGAAAGACAGAAAAAGAGAAGGAAAGAAAAAGGAAAGGAAAGAGAAAAGGAAAAAGAAAAGAAAAAAGCTGGCACCTTGGCTGGTGTGCTCAGTGATTAGAGCATCACCCCACACACTGAAGAGTCTGGGGTTCAATTCCCAGTCAAGGGCACCGTACCTGCGTTGCAGGTTCCATTCCCACTTGGGTTGAGGTGCCTGTGGGAAGCAACCAATCAATGTGTCTCTCTCACATGGATCTCTCTCTCTCTGTCTCTATTCTTGTGTGTTGTTGTTGTTTTTTTATCTTGTGTAGTGCAACCTTATTAAACTCAATGAATTTTGGAAGCTTTTTGTAGATTTTATCACATTTTCTACATAGATTATCATGTCATCTGTGAATAAAGAGCTTTTATTTCTGTCTTTCCAATTTGGGTCGGTCTCTCTCTCTCTCTCTCTCTCTTTCTCTCTCTCTCTCTCTTTCTCTCTCACACTCTCTTTGTTTTCTTTTTTCTTCCTTCACTCCCTTCCTCCCTACCTCCATTTTTGTTGTTGTTTGTTCTTTTTCTTTCGTTTCTTATTGCATTAGCTAGATCCTCTGGTGCACTGCTATTGGATAGAAATGGTGAGAGTGGACATCCTTGTTATGTTTCTGATCATAGGAGGGAAGCATTCAGCCTTTCACCATTAATTATGATGCTAGCTGTAGGTTTTTCATAGATGCTCTTTATCTGGCTGAAGAAGTTCCCTTCTCTTACTAGTTTGTTTAGAGTTTTTTTCAGGAATGGATGTTAGAGTTTTGTCAGATTGTTTTTATACATTCTTGAAATGATTGTATGCTAAATTTTTCTTTTTTTAAAAAGATTTTTTAAATAAATCTTTATTGTTCAGATTATTACAGTTGTTCCCCCCATAACTCCCCTCCACCCAGTTCCCACCCCACCCTCTGCCCTTAACCGCCCCCCACTGTCCTCATCCATAGGTGTACAATTTTTGTCCAGTCTCTTCCCCCAACCCCCACACGCCTTTCCCCCCCGAGAATTGTCAGTCCACTCCCTTTCTATGCCCCTGATTCTATTATATTCACCAGTTTACTCTGTTCATCAGATTTTTTATTCACTTGATTTTTAGATTCACTTGTTGATAGATGCATATTTGTTGTTCATAATTTGTATCTTTACCTTTTTCTTCTTCCTCCTCTTAAAGGATACCTTTCAGCATTTCATATAATACTGGCTTGGTGGTGATGAACTCCTTTAGCTTTTTCTTATCAGTGAAGCTCTTTATCTGACCTTCAATTCTGAATGATATCTTTGCTGGATAAAGTAATCTTGGTTGTAGGTTCTTGGTATTCATCACTTTGAATATTTCTTGCCACTCCCTTCTGGCCTGCAAAGTTTCTGTTGAGAAATCAGCTGACAGTCATATGGGTACTCCCTTGTAGGTAACTGCCTTTTTTTCTCTTGCTGCTTTTAAGATTCTCTCTTTGTCTTTTGCCCTTGGCATTTTAATTATGATGTGTCTTGGTGTGGTCCTCTTTGGATTCCTTTTG